CCTGGAAAGAGAGCAACGCTGCTTTAGCTCAACACCCTTCCCTCCCTGGGCCCTGGCCCTCAATAATAAAAAGCTGATTTTTGACATGAAGCACGGATTTGGGTTTTTATTGTCTCGGGCAGTGTCGCAGTTTGGTTCTGGGCCTGCAACCAGGCTAGCTGTGGCTGGACTGGGGAAAGCCCGAGTACTGGCCCCTCCGGTCTCAAGGGTCTAGCCAAGGTCTTCCTCACACTGGGGAAAGCCAGGCCCTAAGGAACAAGTTGCCCTCTACATCCACTTAGCAGCTTCTGCCAGGGCTGGGGAGGAAGGTAGGCCTCAGAATGGGCAAGGCACCTGCAGACCTTACCCTTAGAAGAGCACATCCTCTAGGGGGTTCACCGACACTGAAACTTCTGTGTGAGTCATACCATATTGACAACTCTGGATCTGGCCATGTCAGAACTCCCAGCTCCTGTGCAGACCATAGTCGCTTCCCTTCTAGGGCCATTCTTGAATCTGAGTAGTGGCAAGGAGCAAGGGTCTGACCGGCCTGGGGACCTGACCCAACTGCCACCTGGAGGGCTGCCTTATTGCAGACACCTCTCTCAGCCTGGAGGTATCTTGGAAGGGGTAAAGGGGTCTTGATTTGCTTGAACTTTCAGTTGTTTTTCACGGAGAGCAGAGTGGGGATCTTTTCTTATCCATTAGAGAACTCAGGAATGTTCAGGTGGAAAAATCCCTAATGGTCACAGCAGTCAACCTCTGAGCATTTTACAGATGAAAACCTGAGGTCCACAGAGAGGAGTGATCTGCCCAGGGCCACAGTCCTGTGGGTGTCAGTCTCCCCTTGATTTCAGCTCCCCAGCATTGCCTGAGTCAGCAATCAGAAAGTGGGTGGGATGCTGAAGGTGGGTGTCGAATTCTCATCTGACAGTTTCTTGTGCCCTCTGAGCAGTTGCCTCAACTTCTGCTCTGTGCAGTCCAGGAGCCAAGAGCCAGAGGTCAGTGGAGCAGTGAGTAGAGTAAGACCTCTGCCCAGGGGTTATGCAGCCAAAGGGCTGCCAGATCCATGTATGTGTGTTCCAGCCATTCCGAAGTGTCAGGGCATGGAAGCCAAGTGGCCGAGCAGCTGTAGGGAGAGTAATGTTCACTTACCTGGATCCGCCCTGGAGGAAGTGTCTCTGGGGAACTCAGGTGAGAATATGAATTGGGAATAAGGGTTTTCAGGGACACAGTAGCTAATAGGAAAGGAGATTAACATATAGTGAACATCTGCTATGTGTGGGGCACCTGAGAAACGTTATCTAATGATAGCCCACAATAATTCAACATGCACATCTTAGAGGCAAGAGAGCAGGTGCAAAGAAGTAAAAGTAACTGGCCCAAAGTCACAGTCAATGAGTGAAGCCAAGATTTTAACCAGGTGGTCTGAATCCAGAGCTCAGGTGAAACTTTCTTGCTAACTGAGGCCTTCTTGGGGCTGGAGTGGATTGATAGGAACATAAGAGTTTCTGGTCCTGAATCCCAGGACCCTCAGGACCTGGACTCCTGCCATCCTTCAGAAAGTGCCATGGGTATGACAACAGGGGCCACTTTATAGGCTGCTCCAAGACTTCAACATACACATCTGACCACCTCACTCTCCTGCTTGAACACCTGGTTGCTTTAAGAATGAAGCTGAAGCTGTTTAAATGGGCCAGCAAGGCCCACCAGCCTCCCCTCTCCCATGTCAGCTGTGTTCCAGTCACTGCAGTTCTGAACCTATAGCAGCCGCACATGTGCACCTTAGCACCTGGAACTCCTGCCCTCCGACACTCTCACAATTTCCCAGCCAACCTGCTAACTCCAATGTCAATTTATCATTACGTCACTTCACTTGGAAGTGGCGGCTGTCTGGGGGCATGGTAAAGGGCTTTCTTTACTCCTTGCCTTAGGCCTGGATTCACTGTTCCCAACCAGTCTCATTTAATTGGTCTGATAGTCCTCTGGGACCAAAGGTGGTGAGGATGTCAAGGGAAGCAGGAATGTCTGCGGTCAGGATAGGGCGGGAGGGGTGGTAGGCCAGGATCCCACTAAACGTCCCCCTGACACCTGGCCATAAATAATCCCCACAGAGGCAAGGCCTGGGACGTGTGAGCATGCATTGGGCCTCACTCCCTGCTTCTTTCCCTTTCCTCCTCACTCGGATGAATATGAAGGCTCATTCACTTGGTCTATCAGAAAAAAAAAGACATTTTTTAAAATGAGTGGGTATTTTCTCAAGTTGGAGCCTATGGCTCATTAGCTACCCAGGAAATTGACTGTCAAATGGTTATGATATCCACAGTGTAGTTATCAAACATTTATCAGAGATTAAAGAGGAGGATGGGTGGGGGTGAGCGGATCAGGGAAGGCCTTCATTTAACCTCCCCAACCCATGGTGTTGTACATGGGTTGTACCCCAACCCAAGGGTGTACTGACCAGTTCGGTCATTAACATTTATTGGGCAATTCCTCAGTACCTGCACCTGGCTTGGTGAAGGGGGTCCAGATGCGACCAATATAATCCCTTGCTGTCCAAGAGTTCAGGGTCTATTAGGAGTGAGGGACTTGGAGATCTACAAATCTGAGAATGACCAATAGGGACCAAAGGGTCCCCCACAAAAACCTAGGAGACACTGTCAACAGTCCCTCACCTCCCCCTGGAGCTTTCAGGCACTTGTAAGTTCCAGCTGCTGAACTGACTTAGAGAACGGCCATGTTCTGTTGTCAGGAAAGGTGAAATGCAGGAACTTGAGGTGACAAGATGGTCTGTGGTGTCTTCTAGTGCCAAGAGCCATCACTCTCCCATGCAGGGATTATCTGAGTCCTGCATGCTTCCCAGAAGGGTCTGAGTCAGGTTCTGAGCAAGGGGTTGAAGCTTAGGGCTGACAGACCACCTGGCCCTGGTCCGGCTCTGAGGGAGCCCTGAGACACTTCCTTCTTTTGCCCACAAGGAGGCCTCAGCAGAGGCGCAAGGGCTCAGCAGCAGAGCACTTGGGATTTGGGTTTCTTCCAGCAGGTGCTCAAAGAGGGAGGAGGGAAGGCTGTTCTGCCGTGCGTGCGGTGAGAGTGTGTTGGTTCCTCGTGAGTGGAAACTGTCTAAAAGGAATGGGCCTTGGTACTACCCCGTGTGGGACGGCCTTCTGGCCTGTGTCTGATGCACACACCCCAGCCTGTAGGACAATGGGTGGTGGCCAGGAACGTGGGCTTTCTCCAGCATGGGGTCTCTCTGGGCAGTCCACCTGCTCCATTTCTGAGGACTTGGCAAGACCAGTTAAGAGTGTCTAGAGATGTTCTTCCTATTTCAGAAATGCTTAGAGACGGTACAGGCCCCTGCTGGTTCTGTGAGGTAAGGGACCAAGGGTTTTGCTGGCCAGGGCAGCAATGTTTCTAGGTACAATATTGGGAGCAGAACTCCATGCACTGGTGTTCCACGTCAGATGAAGGCTGTTGTAGTCTCTAGGTCCAGGCCTGGGGAGCTCAGGATTGTTCTCATACCTACTCTCCTGAGCTGAACCCACTCCAGGTCCCAGGGCCACTCCTTATCTGCCCCCCTGTCTTGCTCAAGGCCCTCCATGGGTCACCTGGGACTCTGGGACAGAAGTGAGATATATGGCTTTGAGATGTCCCTTCCCCCATTAGTCCTCTGTTTTCCCACATGAACAATGAAAATGTTGGATAAAATCAGTGGTTTTCAAACTTTCTCAAGGTCTCCTTGTCAGGTGAAATCTGATATGAAGCCCAATATATAATATAGATTAAAATAGAGCTACTGTGAATAAGGTAAAGGCTGGGGGTCTGGACCTCTATGTGGCTTTCCTTTCCCCATAGCCCACAAGGGGGCCACTGAGTTCCCAAGACACCACTAGGGCTCTAATGAACGCATTGCAAAGGCCACGAAGCTAGGAGGTCAATACAGATTCTCCAGCTGTGACGCCTGGGGTTTTGTCACTTAAGCCATGGCACCTCACAGACCCAAACCCTCTCCTGAGTCACGAAGACAAGGCAGTATGGCAGAGGCCACAGACCTGGCTGGCCAGCTGGTGACATTGCCACAGTCCCCTGAGGAAAGCCACTTTCTGAGGCCCTCTGTCCAAAGGCCTGCTGCCAGTCACAGCAGAGAGATGCCCTGTCTCCCAGAGCCATAGCTGCCACCCGGGGAAGCCTGGAGTCTGGGTCTGCCTGTTCCCCATTTTACCTGAGGTCCCTTCTGCTGCAGCAGCTTGGAGAACTGGGGGTGGATGTCAGGGGCTAGGGTCTTGATGTTGTGATCCCTGCAGACTCCCCTTCACATGCTGTGGCCTCACCTAAAACTAAACAGCTTGGCAAGTGCAGTCACACCCCCTAGCTCCCAGGTCCTGCCTGGCTCACAGGAAGAAATCAATATTCTGAGAGTTTCACTGGTTCTAGATTCCTTTGTCCCAGGGGTCTCATCTGCTGGGTCTTCCCAGAAGTCTTTTCTCTTCCTCCACTTATTCATCTCCATTTCCTTCCACCCCCACCCCAGGGCCTTCTCCCTTGGTCCTAGTCACCAGCTCCTTCCTGTCCAGATGTCCAGCCATCTGACTTGGGTACCTTGATATCCTTGAACCAGCAAACTACACGCCCTGAGAATAAAACCCCAGGAGAGGCTTGTGGCTGCCCTAAGCATGGCCTAGGGATACTTTGTTGTGCTAAAAGTGACCAAATGGTCACGGGGGCTGGGGCTGGGCTTTCTGCCCCTGCCAGGGAGAGACAGGCTGGAGTCTGCCTGTTGTTTTCCAGGTCCAGTTTAAATGTCTTTTAGAGGCCAGATTCCCTGGCCACCCAACCCAACTTAGATCCCTGTCATTGCTCCGTCTCTCCCCTCATGGGGGGCGTCGCTCTCCCCTGAGGAGGACAGGACGTCTGCCGCCTCCCACCCGTATCGCCCGACCGCAGCGCCCCTGAGCCCTTCTGAGGCCTGCCGCACAGCTGACAAAGCAGTTCTCTGGGAACACTTGGTGGGAGAAGCCATTTTATTAAAGGGTTTCTGTCACAAGCCCTCCATTTCTGGGCCTGTCAGACTGGTTTCTGGTTGTCTTTCCTTCCAGTTCCTCTCTTTGTCCACGGCTTCCTGCGAGTCCGCATCCTCGGGGGCATCGGGGGACGGGCCAGTGCAGGGGGGGGCTGGTAGCTGGCAGAGGGCCAGGGAGTGGCCCGCCCCACAGCCCACGAGGAGGGCAGGTAACGACCGCAGCGCCTGCACAGGCCTCGGGGCCCAGACGTCGGCTCCGGCGCCGTCCCCGCACATGCCGTGCTCGTTCCAGCCCCAGCAGCAGCATGCTCCGCCTGTGGGGGAAACAGGGACTGCTGGGCACACAGTCGGGAACGGGGCCGAGACACCCCACCCCGGCGCGGGCTGCCCCCACGAGCCGCGGTTACGCGGGAGGACACCAAGGACCGGGCCCGCAGCGGCATGCTCACTCTCCCTGCCCTCAGAGTCTGCTCTCTTCTCAGGCTTCCCACCGACCTACAACTGTTCCTGCTTCAAACCGGGCTCTCCTCCTTAGCCCTTCCCTCACTGTCACCCACCCCCCTCCCCCCAACTCTGCCTCTTGGGAACCCCAGGCCCATCCACATCTCTCTGTCTCCACGGCCATCACCCTGGTCCTGACACCATCTTCTTTCATCTGGGCCACTCCAATAGCCGACTAGCTAACTGGGCTGCTCACTGTCCACTCCAGTCTTCAAAGAGTATCAACATGATCTGCAAATTCAATCACGTTGCTCCCCTGTAAAACCCTTCAGTGACTTCCCACCGCCTTCGGAGGCCTTTCCCTGGCCTCTGAGGCCCTGAGTGATCTGGCTCCTGACTATCTAGCTGGCCTTCCTTGCACAACTCTCCCCACTGACCCCACTGCATCCCAGAAACCCCTGCCTTCTTTCAGTTCCTTAAATATGCCCTGGGGAGCCTTCCTTTTTCTCAAAGTCCTCTCTTTACAGGTCTCTGTGCCTCCTCATCCTTTAGATTAATTTTTAAGTTTAGATGTCGCTCAGAGACCAATTCCCCAGCCACCCAATCCAACTTAGATCTTGTCATTGCCTTTGTACTTTGCCCACATGGGAGACTTCACACTTGGCAGTGGACAGATGACTTGCACACAGCGTTCACTATCCCTGCTCACTGGCCGACCCGCTCTACGGACAGGGAAGGACATGTATGCCTGTTCACTGCCCTGTCTCTAGCATGGTGTCTGATACACAGCTGCTGCTCAGTACGGGCTGCTGGCTGCATTAAAAGATGGAATGAACTCAGAGTCACACAGCCAGCCTCCAAGCCAGCATTCAAGCACAGGTCTCTCTGAAGTCCGTGACAATCTCACACCATCACAGCACCTGCTCCTAGGTTTTGGCGCCTTTCCTACCATCTATCTAAACTCACATTTTTCTGTAGTTGTTTTAAACCTTTTTCTTCTGGTTATAAAAGTAATACATCTTCATGGCAAAAAAGGAAAAAATGGAAAATATGGATGAATATAAAGGAAAGCAGACTTCTAGAATCTTGCCCACTACCATGAATATTTTAGGTATTTTCGATACCTCTTTCAAACCTTTGTAAATACTTGTGTATATTTCATCTAGATTTTATCCCTTAACATTATAACACAAACATTTCTCCATAGGATTGCATGTTAGAAAAATTAATTGAAAACAATTCGAAATTTTGAAATAGCTCAATATGCAGAAAGATACAAAAAGTAATTTAAAAGAAAGGCACATATCCCTATCTGGATTTACAACATTAATTAACATTTTGCCACAGTTGCTTCAAAATTTCCCTTTAAAAAGAAATTAATCAATTATAAATATAGTTTAAGCCCCACCTCCCACCAATTCCTTCCTTCCTGGAAGTAACCACTATTTTGAAGTTGTACATTTGCATGCTTGTTTTACATTTTTCTACATATATGGGTCCTTAAATGGTGTGTGATATTTTCAGTTTGTTTTACAGGTTCATATAAATAGTATCATTCAAATATGTATTTTTTTTACCACTTGCTTTTTAATTCAGCATTGTTTTTGAAATTCATCTGATGAGCTGTTACTGATGTGGCTCATTTATTTTAACTGTGCATATTATCCCACTATGTATGAATCTTATTTTACTTATCCATTTCCCATCCTGTGGACAATTCTTTAATGAGAACAGTTGTTGCTATATTATTATACAAAATAACATATAATATACAATATTATACAACAATAATACTAATACTGTTGATATCATAAACAGCACTGCAACATGGCTTGAACATTGTTCCTTGTACAAATCAGTGTTTGTGCAGGGCTGACCCCTAGAAACATGAATGCAGTGGAAAGCATGTTTAAATTTACTAGGTGTGGCCCAAGAGCTCTCCACAGTGGCAGCAGTCATTTCTAGTCTCATGGACATGAATTTGTTTCCCTCTACCTTTTGCTATTTGACTCTTACTATTCTGATAAGTACACTTAATGAATCTGTATTTCCCTGACTACTAGTGAAATGAGGCATCACTTTATGTTTATTAGTTCTCAATTGCCTCTTCTATGAATTGCCTATATATAGTTGTTGCCTGTTTTGTTCTTTGGTTGTTTGCCTTTTTCTTCCTGATTTGTAAGTTTTCTTTCTGTATTCTTTTGTTCATATAATTCTTTGTTGTTATATGCATTGCAAGTGTCTTCTCCCAGAACTCTGTGGTGTGTCTTCACTTTATATTTTGTTATATAAATCTATTTTTTTTAAACTGCCTAATTGCCCATATGGAGATCAAACCATTTCCTTAACCTGTATCCTGTTATGAGATATAGGTTGTTTCTCATTTTTCATTATCTTGTAACATTCCTATGAACACTTCATGAATCTGTCTCTCTCTAATTATTTTCTCAAATTAGATTCTTAGAAAGGAAATTCCTGGTCAAATGGTATAGACATTTATGAGTCTCCTAAGGTTTGTTTTGAGTACTGCTAGAATACTTTTTAGAAAGGCCATTTGAATGTAACTACAGCAATCTGTGAGAGTCTGTTTCACTCCAACGTTGCTAGTACTTATTAGTTACATAATATTTAAAAACCTTTTCTGATTGGAAGACAAAAAATTGTATCTCTTTGTTTTTATTTGTGTTTTTTGATTATCTAAAATTGGAAAACAAATCTTATGTTTCTCATATAGTTTGCATTTCCTTTTGTGTATTGTCTGCACCCTATCTTCTTCCTATTTTGTATAGAAGAGTTTAAGTGCTCAGACCCAAGAGCCAGATGGCCTGGGTTCAAATCCCAGCTCCATGTATTAGCTGAGTGACCTTGGGCAAATCATGGGGCCTCTCTGTGCCTCAGTTCCTTCATCTGTTAAGTGGGGATAATAGTACCCTTATCATAAAGTTGTTTACAAGGATTAAATAAGAATGTATAAAATAGTTAGAATGGTGCCTAGCACTTAGTTCTATATAAATATTTCCAATCAATGTTATCGATGAAGAGCCTTGTTTGAAAACTTTTATTATTAAGAATATTAATTTTTTTCCTGCCATATATGGAATAAATTTTTTTTTCTCAGTTTAACTTAAATTGTATTTGGGGTCTTGATGTAAAACATAAGCTTTGTGGTTCTATGTAGCAAAATCTATTGGTCTCTCATACTTTCACTGCCTGTAAGAATTGAAAACCTACCCCTATCCAGGTCACAAAATATTTCTTTCTCATTTTTCAATGATTTGAATTTTTAATCTTTACATTTCACTCCATATCTACTGAAAATCTGTCTTGCGGAGACAGGGAAGGCTGGCCGGCCCAGGATTATCCTTCCCATTCCTCTTCCCTCAGAGGAAGGCAATCACTGGCCAAAAGCCTGGGCTTGGGGAAACACAGATGTCTGCCTCTTTGGCCCACAAGTGAGGAAATACACACAGAGAGGATGAACTCGGCTGTAGCTCCTACGGTTAAGCAGGAGCATCAGCCAGGCTGATCTGAGCCATGAGTGGGGGAGTGGAAGAGGCTCGGTACCTTTGGGGCTAATGTGGCACCTGGTGTAGGCTTTGTGCCCAGCCCTGGGGAGCAGCACCAGCTGACAGTCAGCAGGAATGGGGTTGGGAGGAAGGCAGAGCTGACCTAGCAGCAGGACGTGGCCCAATGGGCAGCTGGCAGGTGCCTCTCCTCCTGCCAAAGGAAACACGCTCTGAGGAGGCCGTGCTCCGGGCTGGGGTAGCCAGAGGCCCTGTGCCAGGACTTTCATGCCCACTGGGTTGAGAAGCCTGGTGAAGGGCCAGAAATGTCTTTCCCAAACACTTCCAAAGAAGCTTACTTGGGGTTAGGTTCTTTACAGTCTTTATCTCATTTCATTCCAACACCCCTGTGAGGCAGCCATGTTTTGTAAATTATTCTCATTTCACAGCTGAGGAAACAGAGACTCTCGAACCCACGTGGTGTGGCTCCAGAATCTGTACTGACTCTGCATATTACATAAAAGAGCTTATCAAATTTATTCTATGAAGGCAGACAGTAAATATTTCAGGCTTGAGGGCCTCATTCAGTCTCTGTCACATGTTCTTCTTTATTATAACCCTTTAAAAATCATTCTTGGCTCACAGTGCCATACAAACAGGCCATGGGTCATATTTGGCCTGTGAGCTGTACTTGGCTGGCCCCTAGCATATATAGAATACATACTATTTACTATGGACTGTGCTCTGCTGTCCTGGGTTCCACACTAGTTAACACTGGTGTGCTGATGGTACTTCTGTCCCTACCCACCCCACAGTGTTGCCAGGGGGAGGAGTACATGAGCCCTGGCATAGTGCCTGGCACATGGTGACAGATCACACCCACATGTGTGGCAGACCAGCAGAGGGGAGGAGAAGGCACGGAAGGCCTGCCAGTGGCAAACAGCGCAGAGGAGAGAGAGGGGCACCAGCAGATGGGAAGGCCTAGTGGGGGAATGACAAGACGTCTGGGGTCCCTGAACACTTTAAGCAAACCTCCTATAGAAAAACCAAGCTGCTGGACTTGGAAAGTGCAAGGTGGGCTCTTCCCTTAACAGAGGGACTCACAGCATGCCATCTTCAAGTACGAACAATTCCAGCCTTTTAGGTCTCACACCTCTCAGCCTCACTTAGGACCACCTTTGCAGGGGCCCAGTGAAGATGGGAAGGCCCCTGGACTCAGCATGATGTTACGATGCAGGTTGCTCTCCTGCAGAAGTGATAGGAAGGGAAACAGCCTATGGTTAAGCTTCTCCCTAGGCTGAGTGGACTATGGGACACCCAGTTTTCCAAACAGGCAAGTTACAGGACAATTTCTGGTTTTACAGAGGGCC